GATTCTTGACCAGCGTACGGTTTGGTCCTTGAGAAAAAAAATGACAAGGGACTACATCAATAACAATAACTTGTCAAGAATACACAATACAGTCAAGCATAGATTAAAAAGACGCCGACAGGAGAACAGTGGATGAGGGAGATCAACAAGAAGACGTTTCTTTCAAGAGAAGCCTCTGATGTAAATGCCGCGTGTGGTAGCTCCATGGCAAGTGGCGAAGTTCACGTACGTTTCTCAGTTGCGACTTCAAGCCAAACTCACGGCTCAGCTCAACCAATTATGCAAAAACTGTCAGTTTAGCAATTGTACAATTAATTTCAACAATTACAACTAAAATTTATGGAACTTTCCTTTCATGTCTTCTACCATTTTTGAAAACTCAAATGGCAAGATTTTCTAATTTCTAGCCGGCCTTCCTTGAGAGAAAATAAGAGCCATTCAACTCGTAAACGCTCGCGTGTGTTTTGTTGTCATTTTGTCTTAGTTTTTATTTTCTCAATGCCCTACAAAGTGTTAATAATAGTAATAGAGTTTAAGTTCTTAGACATAAATATGTTTTGGGCCCTTTTCAGGGCTCATTTTAACCCTTGCCTAGCGGCTTGGGCTAAAATGAGTCTGAGACGAGCCCAAAATATATTTATGCCCGCGAACATAAATTCTATTGTTTTATTGCAGACTTTCTATTGAGACTTCTCTGTTGCTAACCAATTCATCACATAGCTTCTAACGCGGAGATTGTGAATTATTTCACATCCAGAGTCAATTCTCAGCCCTCAGTGGTGTGTGACCCGTCAAATGGAAGCTACCGAGTAGAAGGTAGTGGGTCAATTGTGGGCTATTGTATCCCGCGATTAGAGAAAGAACATAATGAATATGCGAACGGCGTTAGACTCATAAAGAGAATTAAATAGTTTTGTTATACCTCCCGACTCAAATACGTTTCCCGATTGGAGGAGAACGTGTCACGTGTCGTGGGTCAAAACTCACTAACTCACTAGGGAAACAACATCTTGAACTTTCAACTCGCTCGTGATCAGGTCATGCTCCTCGAAACCGCAGCAGATTTGTGAGCCAGCCGGCGTCAAGCAACCGATTTCTTCGCATTTTTTTCTATTTTCGAGTTGGGAGGTATAACACAACACTTAATGACTGGTCCCGCGGGAAACAGTGAGTTT